GGCGTCTCCTCCATATGCATTTCTGCAGGCAGTAGTCTGTCTTCCTCAGCCTCCCCAAGGGGCTCCATGCCTCTGTTTACACCGTGTCATGTTACACATGGCCTTCGACCGTGTTTGTTTGGGTTTGGGAGAATAAAAAGAGTCTTGCAGGGTAAGATGAGGGTGTAGGGTGGCTGGGGTGAAGTTCCCTAACCAACTTCTCATAGGACTGGCCTCGCTGCCCGTGAAGGAGGAGCAGGGGTGTATTCACGATGGAGAACTTCTCTTGACACAACTTTCCGGGCCTACTCTGCAGTTTCAGTCATCTTCAGTCTGCTCACAATAAGCCCCTGTGATCGTCGTTTGTCTTCAGATAAAATCTATCGAGATTTGCCCCCTTTGGGATCTCAACAGCTCAGCCTTGAATTTCACTGATCCAGCAGATCCCCTCCGCAGACACTGTTTGGATTAGACCTTGTGTTTGGTTTTGAAGGCACCAAGGAGCCTCACACAGGTGTATGTACTCCCGAGAGACTTGTGCACAGCCTTTCACTGACCGCAGCGACGGCGGGGTTAGACACATTTTGGGTGGAATAAGTTTGTGCATGTATGAACTGAAACCCTAGTGGCAGTACATTGTGGTTTTCATTTGCGTTTCCCTAATTACTAAGGGAGGGCTCCTGGTGTGGGAACCACGTGGTCGGTAGTTCAGTCCCACCAGTTACGCCTCGGAACCTATACAGGGTTACCATGAGTCAGAACTGCCTCGATGGCACCCAACAACAATAACATAATACAGTTCTGGTGTGGCTCGATAGGTCAGCACTGGACTGCTCATCACAAGGTCAGCAGTTCAGATCCACTAGCCATACCTTAGAGACCTATACAGGGTTGTTAGAGGAGTCAGAACCGACTCGACGGCACCCAGCAGTGACCAGCAGGTGTCCTGTCCGTGTCCGTGTCCGTGTCGTCGGATCCTCTCCACCGTAGGGTTCACCACCTGCAGTCCTACCTGCCGCCTGGGACAACATTGGTTCTGTCATTGCGCCGATTCACAGGACATGTGTGCAGTACCTTGCGTTCAGCTGCCATTTGGGAGCCTCCTTTCATAACTCTTCAAGATAAAATAGTTTATGTATGTTAGCAGCATCTTCAGTGTTGGGCTGCTCACCAAAAGGTCGGCAGTTCAAAGCCACCAGCCGCTGCTCTGTGGGCGCAGGATGCGGCTGTCTGTTCACGTTATGACTGACTGCCTCAGATGTCCGAGGGACCCTCAGCCTGTGTCCTGCAGAGCAGCTGTGAGTCTCAGTGGCAGGACCTGTGGTTTTGGTTGGGGTTCTTGTTAAGGGCCGTGGATTGATTCCACAAGTAGTTGGTGAGTTTGAACCTCTAACCCTGCGGCTAGTAGTCCAGTGTTTATCTTGTGACACCACAGTCCCTTAGAGCTTGGCTGCAACTGAAAGGCCATCCGTTGGAGCCCACCAGCCATTCCGGGGGAGAAAGGTGAGGCTGTCTGCTTCCGTGACGGGAGCAGTTTGGCTCTGTCTGCGAGGGTCGCTGTGTGTTGGAATCGACCTGGTGGCAGTGGATTCTCTGCTTTGTTGATGCCATTGATTGTAGAGCATCCTGTGGCTGGGGCCAGCCTCGTCAGTGCACAGCTAACTGCTGTCTCGCTCCACGAGGACTGTCTTTTCATCCAGGGGACGGCTCCTGCTGGTCCATTTCTTTAACGCTGAACCAGTCAAACCACTTGGCAGGAAGCAGTGGGTACGGTCTCCTTTTGAGGAGGCTGACTCTCCCTGAGCCCCAAGCCCACAGCTGGGCTGGGGCATGTGGAGGACACGCGGAAAGCAGTCCTGGCTCCCTCAGGTGCCGTCAGGGTTTAGCTACATCCCATCGCCGTGTCCTGGGGTTTCCCCTCACTCCCTCCTGTGCCATCTCTTTCTGAGGATTTCCGAAGGAAGTGTAGTTATCTGTGTGGCTGATGTGCCACTTTTAGTGGGGAGTTTAAAGTTAAAAAACTACCCAGTGAAATGAAGACTTTGAAGAAGTGAATAAAGGTATCCTAATCCTCCCAAAGAGCTTCTGTTTGCCATCCCTGCCATCAGAGCACCTGTAGTTCCAGCCGTCAGAAGGAACTGCCATTGATTGCCCCCGCCTCTGAAACTGGCAGGTGATGGTCTTGTTAACAAGACAGGAGTGTTCACCTCTGGAAGTGTTTTCTGAGAAGGGAACCAGCTATCTAAGAATTCAGATAAGCCCACAAACGCTGTTACAGCTAATGACATATGGGCTTAGACGTGCTTGAAATAAAATCACTCACGTCCTTGTAGAACTGCAGTAGCCAGTCCCTCCCAGCAGGACACGCCAAGTCTAGATGAAGTCAGTAAATGTCTCTGTGGGCACCTTACCCAGACAGACAGAAAACCGCATTGTGAACAGTGGAGGGTACCTCCTCGGCCACACCTAAAATAGAAAATCACAATACGACACACACACAAAATTAGCTGTAATTCCTTAATAGCATCGAGGAGTCTGCTCAGTCAGAAGTATCTCTTAACCTAGAGGAAATCTTTAAAAGAGGCTTCACATAAAAAGCTACAAATTCACGGATAGATCCAATATTGTCTGAATGAAAAGTTCCTTTGTTTTGTTATCCCCAAGTTTATCCAGAAATTCAAACCCTTTTCCATTAGAAGCCTGTTGTGGTTTTAAAGAGACTGCCTTTTCTCTGTCCCATGAAGGCCTAAGGGTCACTCAGAGAAGAGATGTGGGGATCTCACAAAGCAGGGGTCGTGAGGACTGCCTGGGTGACTGTCCGAACAGGCTGTGACGTAACTAATGAAGAGGGATACGTGAAGGAGCCTACGAGTCGGCTTGCTAACCTCTCTAGGTCAGGAGTTTGGAACTACCAGCTTTTCCACAGGAGAAAGATGAGAAGATGAGGCATTCTGCTCCTGTAGAGATTTACAGCCTCGGAAACCCTGTGCAGGGTCACTATGGGTTGGAACCGACTCCATGGCACACCACCACCATCACACCACATGTGCAGGAAAGTTGTGTCATCAGTGGAGGGGTATCCATAGCCACCCGATTTATACAGAAAGCTAGAGCTTACGAGACGAATACAGCTTTCATTGAGTGGTCAAGGTGTGGTGAGTTTTCAGCAACTTGGATCAACTATCAACACTCACGGGAGCAGCAGTCAGGAAGGCAGACGATGTACTGCATTGGGCAAATCTGCTGCACAAGACCTCTTTAAAGTGTTGAAGAGCGAAGATGTCAGTTTAAGGACTAAGGTGTGCCTGACTCAAGCCATGGTATTTTCAATAACCTCATATGCATGCGAAAGCTGGACAGTGAATAAGGAAGGCCGTAGAAGAATTGATTCTTTTGAGTTATGGTGTTAGAGGAGAATACTGAAAGTGCCATGGGCTGTCAAAAGAACCAATAGATCTGTGTTGGAAGAAGTGCAGCCAGAGTGCTCCTTAGAGGCCAGGATGGGCAGACTTCATCTCTCATACTTTGGACATATTTTCAGGAGGGACTAGTTGCTGGAGAAGGACATCATGTTTGGTAAGGTGTAGGGTCAGAGAAAAAGAGGAAGACGCCCAGCAAGATGAATTGGCCAAGTGGCAGCATCAGTGGACTCAAGCGTGGCAACAGTAGTGAGGTTGGTCCAGGATTGGGCCTTGTTTCATTCTGCTGTGCATAAGGTTGCTATGGGTCAGTACCGACTCTACAGCACCTAACAACAACAAGTAATGGGACAATTGCCTACTTAGTCTTTTGGGGAGAATTAGAGGAGACTCTTGTCTTGTGGTATATGCAGAAGCAGCCCCGCATGGAATCAGGAAGGGGAGATGGTTGCACCGCTTTGCACCCCCACAACCTGCTCTGTGTGCACAGTTGAAGGGCGAGTCGTACGACATGGGAGTGATAGCTCAGCAGAGCGGTGTGAAAACAGAAACTCCAGGGGACCCAGCTAACAGTGAACTGTGGATGAAGATATAGGAAATGATTAACCCAGAAAACGAAGGAAAGGGCCAGGTTTGAGGTAACGTGTCAAGCATTTCATGTAATAGGATACACTAGGAGTAAAGTTTAAATCAGGTGACGGAGCAAGCACAGAGATTATTATACTGTGTCTGTGAGTGTGTCTGCAGTGAACCCAGTCGGCCAATGAGGTGTGGTTATAGTAACGAAGGGATATAAAATAGCAGTCCAAGCACAATGGGGACGTGACGGCCACTAGCAGGGAGAATCCATCCCATGGCTGGCTGCACCATTGAGGACCCGGGCAGCCCTCCTCACAGTCTAGGGCTGACCTGTAAGTTGAGAAGCTCATACCTAGCATCTGCCCGGTAGAGAATGGCATGTCCTGTCTGGATGTCCTGGAGGAGGACCTCGGCTTCCCCAGCACACAGCCGTAGTAGGACACCATGTGGACGCAGGGAGTGGGGCCTTCCCTGCCTGGGAGAGGTGAGCAGAGTTAGTGGTAGTCATGGGTTTCCGTACTTTATTTGTGTAGCTAGAAAAGAAATTCAGCAAATATGGTGTCTGTTGTTCTGATGAGGAAAAGTATCATTGGCAAGTGTGTGTACTCTCTGTCCAGGTGTGCCTGGACATTGGGCTGCGGCTCTGGGACTGGGTGTTCCATGTTACTCTCTGTGTTTGAGATTCCCTCCACCTTCTCGTGTGTCTTGCTGCGTTTTGACTGGATCGTACCCACATGTAGTAGAGATGCGATTGGCTGAGGAGCCCACCAGGGGACCCAGACTTGAGTACAGATCACCCCCCTGGGACAGAGTGTGCTGAAGGAGCCGTTGGGCCTGAGGCCTCGCGGCGGTGTAGCGGGAGCGGCCTCCGCCTGCGTCTGGGTGGATGCTGTGATGCACACACACAGCCCTGCTGCTCACAGCAGGATTTTGCAGCCTGCCTTTGATCACAGCGTCCGTCCACCAAAAGCTCTAATTCTTGCTTTCTGTTTGATTTGTTGTCCTGCCGGCATGGCTGGTCAGATGGATGGCGAGTCGGAAGAGGAACCAGAGTCAGCAGACACCGGCGAGGAGGAGGAAGATGGCGATGAATCTGACTTGGTAACCCACTCTCATGACCCCAAGAGGTGGTCCTGGGCTGTGAAGGGCTGGCGTCTGAAAACGAGATCAGGCCCATCAGAGGGAGCAGGGAGTAGTGAAGAAGACGGCACAGAGTGGGTCCAAGGGCTCTGATGATAAAGCCAATGAGGGTAGATGAGGCTGGACTGAAGCCTGGCCAGGTAGGGAGGCACCGTGAGACGGTGAGTGGAGGGGAGGTGGGTTAGGGTTAGGGGCACAGTGAGGTGTTCTGTGAGGAGAGGTCACGTGGAACCATCTAACACCCTGATGAAGCCCTCAGAGCCAGTTTCTTTATGACTTTTCTGACAGTAAAAAGGTGCCACTGGGGACTGTTTCCTAGGAGTGCTTTTCTTGTGAATTGAGTGAAGGTTCACAGAGAAGAGCATCGGTTTTCCATCCAACAGTCACACACTTGGTGTCACCTCAGTGATTGTAACACCAGTCATCCCATCTTCCCATCCGTTCTCAGCTGTGTCCTTAGAGAAATGTTGGCCTTTGGATCTGGAATGATTGAGCAGACCTCTCGAGCGTTGTTGCCCCTATAACCCTATGTACTGCTTGTGGCTAAAATTGGTCTGCAAGGCCCAGAAGTGTGCTCGAGGCCTATAGTCTTGGCTTCCCCCAGTCTCTTTCTGACTATTGAGCCCATCTTTGTTTTCAGTCTTCAGTTTTGTTCCATCTTTCCTCCCACTGTCTCCAGAACCTTCCACTGCGATCCCTTCAGAGCAGTTGGTAGTGATAGCCTGAGTGTCCATGTGTCCAGCCAGAGTACACTGCTGAGTATATAACACTCTTTACCTCTATCCCTTTTGTCCCTTGCAGACCTCCCTGGAGCACATTTTCTTCTGTTTCTCTTTATACCCGTAGTAAGCACCATATTATTTCAAATTTCTCCTTGCAAATGTTAGAAGGGGCAGGGTTTCACAATGAGCATCTGTTTATAATTTGGGCAGTCACTTGTCCTTTCTATATACAGGTCTTAGACTCAGATAGTTGTTGTTGTTGTTGTTATGTGCCGTGGTGTTGGTTTCGACTCATAGCGACCCTGTACAGGGTTTCTGAAGCTGTAAATCTTTATGGGAGCAGAAAGCCTCATCTTTCTCCCACGGAACAGCTGGTAGTTTTGAACTGCTGACCGTGAGGTTAGCAGCCTGATTCGTAACCACTGCGCTACCAGAGCTCCTTTAGTTAACCATTTAAATGCCCTTGCTCTCTGTGTAGAGTATTCACAGAGAGTATTCAGAAAGCATAGAGTATGCAGAGTATCAAGTCTTCAGAGTATTCATGGAGTACTCAGAGTATAGAAGATTGATAGACAATAGAGTGTTCAGAGTATAGATGATTCGTAGGGTTTCCATAGAGACATAGATTCTGAAGCCCTTTGAGGCATTGAGTGTTCCTTTTCTCATGAGCAAGATGACTGTAGGCTGCATATAATTAAAAGTGGATTCTCTTATTGAGCTTATTTATTTAGTTACTGAGTAGAGCTTTCTAATATTTTTTTTTTCTTTTGTGCCAAACTCAAATAAGGTTTATACATTTAATTTTCTTGAATTTTTTTCCTGTGAGCACTGAGTGGTATTTTACTAGGTGAAAGCTTAGGCACCTTTAAGAATATGACTCAGAAAAATCTCTGAAAGTGAAATTAACTTTCTAGAATCAAGATAGTGAGTATTTTATTTTGCAGAGAAATTAACTTCTAGTACTTTCTGCTTTCAAGTGCCACCCATGCTCTGCCTTTTACCAACCTGCCCCTTTTTCTTCTTCAGAGTTCTGAATCCAGTCTCAAGAAGAAATTCCTCAAAAGGAAAGGGAAGACTGACAGTCCATGGATCAAGCCAGCTAGGAAAAGGCGGCGGCGGACCAAGAAGAGGCAAAGCGGTGAGCTAGGTAGGCACCGGCTGTGGTCCCTGCGCACAGTCACAGGGAGGGCTGCCTCTCTTTTGGGGTTGTAGAGTGGCGTGACAAGAGAACCTCAGTGGGCACTTAACTTCTTTCTGTCTGTTGGGATTCTGCCTGGGCTTTCCTTTGAAAAGAGGGCTTTGCTGGTGAAAGCTGAAAATGACTTTGTTAGGTGACCCAGAGTGGCGCCCTCAGGCAGTCCTATTCTACTGTGGGCTTCAGCACTTCTAAAGTGCTGCTGGGCCTCATGCTAGTATCTCAGTTCCCACAGGGGTCAGTGCCCACTCTTTGGTCAGAGAAGTCATTTTATTCAAAGAAATGCAGGAAGGAAAGTATCCCCCTGAAGGCAGCTTAGCCCCATGTGCCCCCACAATTCATGTCGTGAGCATCTGTCACCCAAAGTCTCCTCGTGCCCCGGGCACCTCTTGTACTCTTCTGACCTTCCCATCCCCAGGCAAGCATTGGTCTGCTCTTTGTCTCTAAAAGATCAGGGGACATTTCTGGGGTTTCTCCCAGCATACTCTCTGTTTGTCTCTGGCTTCTTTGACACAGTGTCATTGCCCTGACGTCCACCACGTGGTAGCACCTCCGGGACTAGGTGCCTGTTCAGTGCTGAGAAGGGCAGCATGTGGAGGATGGGTACACTGCATGCAGCCAGGCTGGCGTCCGTGAGAACTTGAAATTCTGCTCTGCATTTTCTCCCTTTCAGTCAGAATTCTTTAGAATCTTAGATCCAAATGTTCAGTGATGATAGCCGTGCACCATCTCGTTCTGGTATCATGGCAAAGGCGGCAGTTGTTCATGGAGACAGTTGGCTGTACATTAATTCCCGCTCCTCTTTTTGACTCCCACCATTCGTGTGTCAGTTTGTTGTGTGTTGCTGGGATGCCTGAAGCTGTGCCGGCAGTATTATAAATAGCAGCAGGGTCACCCAGGGTGGACAGGTTTCAGTCGAGCTTCCAGCCCTAAGGCTAAGAAACAGGAGAGGCAGATAGCTTGTGAAAGATCAGTCACTGGAACCTTGTCAGATCCAGTCCAGAACATGAGCCCCTCAGGTTGGAAGACTCTCCAAATACAACTTGGTAAAAGCGACCACCTCAAAGTAGAGTTGACCTTAATGGCATGCGTGGAGAGCAAAGCTTCATTTGCTGATGGGACACACCTCATAATGAGGAGAAACAGCTGTAAATATCCATTAATAATCAGAACACGGACTGTGTAAAGTATGAATCTAGAAAAATTTGAAGTTATCAAAAATGCAATGGAATGCATGAAGATCAATTTCCTAGGCATTAGTGGTGTGGCACTGTGGGTTACTCAGTGAGACTGCAAAGCTGTTTGAATTGCAAGGTTGGCAGTTCAAGCTCACCAGGGGCTCTTCGGAAACCCTGTACAAGGTCGCTATGGGTCGGAACCGACTGGATGGTCCTTAACAACAGCAACAAGTGAACTGAAACGGACTGGTATTGGCCATTTTGAATCAGACAATCATACCGTTTACTATGTAGGAACTACAGCTAGAAGAAGAATGGCATCTCATTCATTGTCCAAAAGCATTTCAAGGTCTCTCTTGTTGAAGTACAATGCTGTCTGATAGGATTATATCCATATTTCTACATGGAAGCAACTCCATGGCACTTAGCAACAAGAAGGAAGACTGTTATTCAGACTTACACACAACCACTAAAGCCAGTGATGATGGAAATGAAGAATTTTACCAACTTCTTTGTGGAGCTCTGGTAGAGTGGTGGTTATAAATTGGACTGCTAATCTCAAGGTCAGCAGCTGGAAACTACCAGCTGTTCCACAAGAGAAAGATGAGTTTTTCTGCTCCTGTAAAGATTTACAGCCTCAGAAACCCTGTACAGGGTCGCTATGAGTCAGAACCGACTCCACGGCACATAACCACCACCAACAACAACTTTCGTCAGTCTGAAATTGATCAAATATGCAGCCATGATGTATTGACAATTACTGGTGATTGGAATGTGAAAGTTGGAAATAAAGAGGAAGCTGGAAATAAAGATCAGTAGCTGGAAAATACAGCCTTGGTGATAAGAAACAATGCTGGAGATTGAATGATAGAGTTTTGCAAGACCAATGACTTATTAATTGTAAGTATCTGTTTTCAACAAAATAAATGACAACTATACACATGGACTTGCTAGATGGAACTTACAGGAGTCCAATTGGCTCCGTTTGTGGGACATGACAATGGAAAAGTTCAATATCATGAAACCAAAACAAGACCGGGGGTAGCCTTTGGAACCAGACCATCAATTGTTCATATATAAGTTAAGGCTAAAGCTGAAGAAACTTAAAACAAGTTCACAAGAGCCAAGCTATGACTTTGAGTATATCCCAAATTTAGAGATTAAACCAAGAACAGATTTGACACTAATGACCAGAGGAGTTGCCGGATGTCACCAGAACATCATAACTGAAGAAAGTAAAAAGGGTCATTAAAAAGACAGCAAAGAAAGCAAAGACCGAAACTTGCTCTTGGGTGTAAAGAGGCTAACATGACTAGAAGAGATGAGCAGAACGTTCCAAAGGGCACCTCAGGAGGACAGAGTCAAGTATGAAATGAAATAATGCAAAACCCAAAAAGGGAAGAACCTGCTCAGCGTTTCTCAAGTTGAGAAAACACTGTTAGCCTCAGTTTGCAATATTAAAGAATTCTACAGACCAAGTTTGAATGACACAGGGGAAGCATTAAAGAAGACGGAAGGAATGCTAGAATCACTACCAGAAGGTACTGGTGTTGGTGTTGAACCATTTCAGTAAGTAGCATCTGATCAAGAACTGAAGGAACGAAGGAAGAAGTCCAAGCTGCACTGAAGGCATTGGCCAGAAACAGTGCTCCAGACATTGATGGACTGCACACTGAAATGTTTCTGCAAACTGATGTGGTGTTGGAGGTGTTCCCTAGTCTGTGCCAAGAAATCTGGAAGACAGCTGCCCGGCCAGTCAATTGGAAGAGATCCTTATTTTGCCTGTTGCCAAGAAAGGTGACCCAATAGAATGTGGAAAGCATGTAACAGTATCATTAATATCACATGCAACTAAAATTTTGGTGAAGGTAATTTCAAAACACTTGAAACAGTACATTGACAGGGAACTGCCAGAAATTCACGTCGGGTGATCTGAAACGAGGGCTGTCACTGCTAATGTCAGATGAGTCTTGGCTGAAAGCAGAGATTACCAGAAAAAAATGTTGACTTGTACTGTACTGACTGTGTAAAGCCATTCAACTTTTGTGGATCATAACAAGCTGTGGGTGACATTGCGAAGAATGGGAATTTGGGAACACTGAAATTGTCCTCGTGCAGAACCTGTCCAAAGACGACGAGGCAGTTATTCGAACAGAATAAGAGGTACTGCCTAGTTTTAAATCAGCAACAGTATTGGCCGGGGTTGTAGCCTTTCACCATACTTACTTTATCTAAATCTATATGCTGAGCAGATAATCTGAGAAACTGGACTATATGAAGAACGTGGCATCAGGATTGGAGTAGGGCTCCTCATTCGGTACTGATATGCAGAGGACACATCTTGCTTGCTGAAATCAAAGAGGACTTGAAGCACTTGCTGATGAAGATCAAAGAATATAGCCTTCAGTATGGATTACAAGTCAATGTGGGGGGAAAATAATCAATAAACAATATCATTTGATAAATGGAGAAAAGATGGAAGTTGTTAAGGATTTCATTTTACTTTGATACACAATCAATGCTAATGGAAGCAGTAGTCAAGAAATCAAATGGCATAGTGCATTAAGCATGTCTGCTGCAAAAGACCTCTTTAAAGAGCAAAAATATTTAAGGTGCATCTGACCCAAGCCATAGTATTTTTAATTGCTTCATATGCATGTGGAAGTTACACAGTGAATAAGAAAGACTAGAAAATATGTGCATTTGAATTACAGTGTTGGTGAAGAATGTTGAATGTACCTTGTTGCAAGAGAAAACCACACAAATTTGTCTTAGAAGGAAGGATGGTGAGAGTCCCTGTCTTTCATACTTTGGGGATGATGTTGTCAGGAAGGATGGTGAGAGTCC